TCAAATACCAGTCACTAAAATATCTGTTTTTATAATAAAGTCAGTATAATTTATTTTTGTAAAATACAAATTCATAATATCTGCTAAAAAACACTCTCTATAAACTTATCCAAAATATATATCATTACTAACGCAGATATAAAAACCTGTTCGCTGCTATTAATTATTTGTTGACCAACCCAGTTCAAGTACAATAAATGCATAATTAAGCCAACTAAGAAAGCAACAATCCGTATCAATTTGAACAAATCACTATAAACAAAAAGTATCTGTAATGATACAAGTATTTTAAGGATCAATTTATGAAGATGTATCTCAAACTTAATAAGTACATTCGTACATATACACAAGTCAAGGCTATCGTGACCACGCTCATACAATTCACCATCAAAAAACACAAATTAAATGAATTTTCTAGTAAATCGCAGCATCTGAAAGTTAAACGTGAGCTGTATATATTTTTATTTTAATTAATGTTTTACATTCATGATCGAATAATCAAACCCAATAGTATCATTGTGTAATTGAATCGTTTCACTTAATTTCATAACTAGGTCTGGATTATCTGGAAGTTTACTTAATTGTTGACCCTTTTCACTTTTTAATAAAGTCTCTAGTCTGCGACTGAAAACATACAAATACTTCTATCCGTAGATGTAATATAATCTATTGCGAAGTATATATTGTGAAAATATATATTATGTTTATTATTTAACTAAAATTCTCGGAATGATTAAAGGCTAAATATCAAATGATGGTTTTATATGAATAAAGATCGAATCCTAAAAAATTGAGCCGTGCTTGCTTCAAAGGACTCAAGCCCTGTTGAAACCAAATATAAATGATTAAATATGACCCAGAGTACAATTTATTTTTTGAATACTAGAACAACATTGTTTTATGAGCAACTATGCATAAATCATGGAATTTTAAAAGCCAAATCCTGTGAGTTAAATTACAAATGTATTCAATTGTGTAGTTGTTAACGCACAAAGTGATAATTGGTATGTCAATACTAATTATCACTTTCTCATTATATTATGCAATTAGAAATAAATTTGAGTTTTCTACCATACGATTTCAAATAATCCACAGGTATGTTTGACGCTTATCACATAGATTGTATCAAGTCCACAAAATAGAACAAGTGGTGCTAAATAAGATACAGCAATGTGACCACAAGCCCAATAATGATAATCGCTTTGTTCAAAGAACAAATAATTTGCATAAAATGGCATTAATACTGGGCGCGAGTCATTTAAAGGTAGCATATAGTCCAATGCTAAGGGTAGAAAGGGCATGAGGGTGTACAATACCCATGCGCCATGTATATAATCTGAAATAAAATATTAGTACTTATATTTGATAGTATTTCATCATTTACAATATAGGAGAAAAGTAGGCATAATTTGATTTTTTGTCGTTTCACAATAAATTATAACTATATTCTGTAATTATAAACCTCTTGTATAGTATCTTGTTCTCCTATTTAGTAAAGTAATAATTACGAATACTCTACTTACATGTATAGATAATTAGTAAAAGTCGACCTTGTGCAGTATTTTTAGTTAATATTTCACGTTCCTTACGATCTGTCACCGTTTGCCAATCTTTGGCTATGGTCACCAGCAGTGAGCTAAGCTGTTGATGCAATTTGTTAAGGGATCTCTATATATTGCTATAAATTTACAATCAATGGAAAAGAGTTTTGGTTGCTTCCCCCAATGGATTCTCTAATTATAGATCGTAGAACCAATTATTATCAATTAATGATAGTACCTCGAGTGCGACTAATTATTGTTCGAGCAATTAATGCTCTTTTTACTTGTAAGAACTTAAGAAACAAATGGTATATAAATCTTCGGGTTTTTATATACTTTTATAAACTATTATAGTTTTATAAACTATTATATAAAAAAAAATAAATAATGAACCTCTCGCATAAAAAAGGAACAAATAATTTACAGATATATATTTGAATCGAAGCCCGTTTTATATACCAATTCCACAAAATAAAACAAGTAGTACTATATATAAACCACAGTAGTATGACTATAAACTCAATAGTGATAATTAATTTATTTTAAAAACAAATAATTTACTAATAAATGATTTCTACCGTTCTATTATATATTATGTAATAAACGAATGACCTTAAGTTTACTTAGGGTAGGTAACGCACAAAGTGCGTCTATGTCTCTAGTTTTAAAAAATATTCGATTTGGATATTTGTAGTAGTTTGTAAAATATAACATTTTGAATTTTTTTATTATTTTTCTTTAATTTTTAATAAATTTCGATATAATTAAGATATTGTCATGAAAATCTCAGAAAAAACTCACTTCTATGGATAAACAATTATGCCAAATTATAAAAATCCGTAACCTAAGTGTTCGAGGCCCAGCAAAATAGCCAAGAATTACCTAAATACTATCATGATTAAATGTTTTATTTGTCTTTCCATTAGAATAATATTATAAACTTTATTTGAAAAAGTACTTATCTATTAATAATATAAAATTAAATAAAAATGTTCACAGCTTACCCGCTTTTTATTTACAAAAGCAACTAGATATTTCGCAAATACACCTAAAGCAAACATAACTGAAACTGAATTTTCAAAAGTTATTGCCATATCTTTTCCGAACTGTTGAATTAAAAGAATGAGCTGTATTGAGTATAAAGTAATATTATTAGAATTTTTTTAAATTCAAACTTCAACATTTTTTTTCAATCAACGTACATTTAAAATAAAACATACGTATTTTATGATTTCTCTTGAAGAAAATTACCTGTGGCACCGCCAATGAAGCATTAAAGATTACGAAAACAATCAACCTTAAATATCGACTTTTGTTATTTTGTTCAGGCCACAATCCACATAATGACATAAACCTTTTACAACTTTTATAATAATAACCATCGAAAATGTCCATGTTACTGAGATATTTTGAACATAAGCTCTGGGCTTCGAAAAAAAATGTCGATCACGCAAGCAAGATAGTCATTTCACGATTAAAAAAATTTATTCTTTGACGTTTAAAGACCTAGAGCGAGTCTGAAAATTGATGTAATTATTCTATAATCATTTTACGTGGAAAGGTGGATGATGGTTACAGCAATTATATCAAAATACGACGTAGACATAGATATAAAAACCAATCGATTCAAGGAGATCCAGTAATACAATTATTTCTATGGACTACAATAATAGCATTTATATTATGTTATCTCGTCTTCAGGATTATCACAGTAACATCATTTGCTTAATTTAGCCACAGCAACTTTTTATTTTCATAACAATCGAATGCTTATATTTTCTTGATAATAATTCTTACTGTTTTACTATATTGTTTACGGTATACTACAATAAACTAGTACGAAAGCAGCAATTTTAAAAACTTTTGTGTTTTTCGCTTTTCTCGCGATTATTTGCAATTACAAAGATCAATATTTTCACATCGAGCACTTCTGGATATAACAAATGAGACCTATTTTCAATTTCACGTGTATAACTTGTTTAGCTGCTTCTCTAAAAAACATCGTGAAGTTGAATTTTCTGCATACTTAATTTAAGAATATTCCTTCTTTATTGAAGAACTCTTTTTTGTAACGTAATTCGAGTTTCTGTTTTTTTCAAGTTCTGCTACGACGTTCATACAGTCGTCGAGATTGTCGAAGTAGCACTCGCTCTGATGAGATAGATTAAGGCTCGATCGTTTTGCTTCCTTGAAGTGGAAGCACTGTTTTCGCGATTCGGAATATTATTCTCTATTTCGCTGTAATTTTTTTGTTTCTATGATTTTTTTGTTCAATTTTATTTTGTGTGGTTATATTAGACTCCACTTATTAATATGATATATTATTTCATTTAAGTTAGAAGTCTATGATTTAATTTTTTTTAATGCTGTTTTTTTGTGGTATTAATCGATACCTGACATTTTTGTGATTTTGAAGATATCTTATTGAAAGTTCGTACGTGTATGAAGTCTATATGGTATTTTCATTGCGTAAATGTCATAGTTATCGTTAAAAATGTATTTCATACTTAAAAACACGTATTTTTCCGTATGTGTGTATGTTATCACCTAGAATTTTTATCATTTTGGAGTCATTTCACTGAAACTTTGTGTGTATAGTTTAATTAGCCAAGCAATGCGGCATAATTTTGGAAAAGTTATAGTTAAATATTTATTACATGTTTAGAAATTATTTAAATAGTCGCTTTTTACGTGTTTTTCTGTTTATTTTTCAAAATACATATTAGTCTATTTTTGTTACACGAATTTCCTGCTTTCATAAAATATTTTAAAGGGTGTTAGAGCTCACAATGAGCAATGATAATATCTTTTAAATTCATTTGGCTTATACGTAAATTTACATACTACTCATTTATTTATTTGTTTAATTGTAGATTTATTATCTTTATCACGCAATAGTTATTTAACTATTACATTAATTTTATAAACAAATTTTGAGACAGATATCGGAAAAAGATAAGTATTACATAATTCTTGTCATTCTTTGAGCAAGAACTCCGTCAATGTAGTTGGTAGCATTTTTCTTATTATACTGCTACAGCTGCTACTGTCATATGAGGTAATACCGCTCGTTCTTCCACTCCTATAAATAATAAAGCTCTTGTTTGTCTGCTACTTTAATAATATCAACAGACCTTATTCGGATACTTTTGTGTTTCCTGATCTTCATTCAGAGATCCATAAACAGTGAACAACATTATGAACACTGGTTCCGACAGAAAAATAAAGCACAACATGTTGAACACCTACCCTCCCTTGGTCAAGGGTTCATTAGTAGCTCGTAAATTTGTACAAGTAAGGGCAGGTATTTATGTTACTTGTTTAGTCTTTAACGACTTTCTGAATCAAATAAGAAACAAGAAAGTACATTATAACTTTGCTTGATGGCGACCGTATCCACAATGATTGTCACTATAGCATCTCACGTTTAAGACGCGTTTGAATTTTAAACAAAGGCAACATCAACAACCCGCTCTGTGCGAAAGATTGTTGAAACATTCAGGTGTGCAAGTCTAATGGTTTGAATGCTACGATGTTGCCGACACCTAGTGCTTTTCATACATACTATGTATTGATTCTTTGCATGTTACGAATATTTGCAAGACAAAACAAAGATAAAAAAACAATGCTGCTAATGTTGCCAATTGTTATAATGTAAATATTCTCGAAGACAAATAAACAGTTGACTAACGACTTTGATAAATTGAACGATCATGAAACAATGATTGAAATTTTCTGGAAGTAGTACAAATAAAGTAAAAAATTACTATTTCACGAATTAAAAGAAATTCATAACGAACATTAATAGATTGTATTTAGAGAACTGAAGGTATTGCAATTTTAGCTCTAGCCTCCGCTGAAAATAGTAAATAAAAGGTTTTACCTGTAGATGAAGGATAGGAGTATCATGCGAGTTTCAAATAAATAAGGAGATCTGTCAGTTATTTAAAGAAATGGTGTTTTTATTGCAAAGGAATTAATATTTAATACAAAATCCCACCCGTAATTGGGGGAAAAGCCATTGACGTTACAATTAAGTTTCAAATATACAACGGTTAAATGTACAAGGAGGTTGAGATTATTACAAGCTGCAATACCGGGTACATTTAAGGAGAATATCGCGGTATTTGAATGGCCATTCAAATACGCTAACTTACCAACTCGTCGCCTTTGCAGAGAGAGAGAGAGAGAGAGAGAGATGCTGTCCGCATAAAAGGTCGATGTCCCAACCCCAACGTCTTGGGAACGAGAACAGCTCTCGTTACATCATCACCTTAGGCTTATAATGGACCATAAGGCTACGTGACAGGATGCACTCCAGAGGATATAGCGTATATATGATTGGTGTGTATGTATTAGTTTTTTCAAGTGATAAGGAAAGATTGATTCTTTTAAGGAAAGTATTAACACTTTTTAGATTATGTTCTAATAATCCGATGGCAGTCTTTGTATCTTTAGCAGTTGCTTCGAGAGCAATATCATCGACAAATGGAAGACATTCGTATTCTGTAGGAATAAAGATGAGTCGGCAAACACTAATGACAAGCTCAAGATTTATAAAAACTCATTTTTTTACTAAGTTTGATTCCAAATATTTTGAAATCCATATGTAAAATATGTGGATTTCTCATTGAAAAGTAAAATTCGCTGTGTATGTAGTTTGGAGCCCAAGTGTATTGTGTTTCTGTTGCCGGTAGTTTATGTAGTCCGTAATCCGAAAAATGTGCCAGTATCTTATTATCATTTTCATCAAAGTGTTAAAGCTTATGATTATTGTGGTGATTTTGAATGGTTTTGGAACTACTTACAAAATGATTAAGGTATTATTTTTCTCTTATTTATACAAGATATTCTGCTGTTGCAACATTCATTCTCATGATTTTCTGTTTTAATAAGTTTCGTTCAGTCGTTGATTCAAACACATAAAGGAGCGATGACATACATGACACAGGGAGGAACTAAATAGGCTACATCGACACGAGCCAAACTTTTTATTTTTATTTTATGAAGAAATGATTCACGTGACTGTGCAAAATGAATATTTCATTCATTGCTGAATATAATTATACTTTATTCGACTGATTTGCATGAATAAACATTGAAATGTCTACAGGACTTACTAGCTACGACGAAACAAGTCGCCAATCTCTTAGGAAAATCATACATGGAAGAACAGTATGAGAAATGAGTTAACCATTTAACATTTCATAATCTGCAAAACAATGAGATGGTCAACTTTACACGTGATAAGGCGGAAGTGATATTCAAGAAGGACACATTTATACGACAAGGAAAAAGTCAAGCGTGGCATAGTATGTTTTCTCCAAAAATGAACGAGCTAGCTAATAACTGAATACAAGAAAATCTAAAAGATACAGATATTGAATTTCCCTTCGTCGAGATATACTCATGATTCGCGGAATTGTTAAAGCTTTTATGTAATAATGTAATGGTTAAAAATATTCTAATAAACATTTATATTTATTGTTATCTTTACACTGATTGTTAGTAACATGTTAAGCGTGGCTTCGTTTTATCCTCCTCATCGGAAGTTCTTTTCCCTGACTCAAACATCAAACAGAATTGCCTCATACGATGAAACAACATAACATAATAAATGTATATTTTTTATTGAATTAAAAATCTACTTCGTATCTGAAAATTTGTTTTCATTTATACCGATTTATACTTACAGTTGAAAGAAGTTCATTACAGAAAATACCCAATTAAATACTACTGTGTTTCATTGTGAAACGTATGATTTGATCGTTTAATTAACTTTTTTATTCATAAAAGGATAAGATCACAGTAAAGTACGACATCGCAGATTTCAGTAACTGAAAAATATGAAAGTTACATAATGATTATTTCCAACATAAAATCCATTTATCGTTATATATGTAACTAATGTCATATATATGTATTACAATTCCGAAATTTTCCATGGAAAGATTTGCTAGTTTGCCAGACGTTAGTGTACAAGGTACTAAAGAACGAATCATAATTATGTTGATGAATTTTTTGGTACTGTTTGGTATCAAATACCAGTCACTAAAATATCTGTTTTATAATAAAGTCAGTATAATTTATTTTTGTAAAATACAAATTCATAATATCTGCTAAAAAACACTCTCTATAAACTTATCCAAAATATATATCATTACTAACGCAGATATAAAAACCTGTTCGCTGCTATTAATTATTTGTTGACCAACCCAGTTCAAGTACAATAAATGCATAATTAAGCCAACTAAGAAAGCAACAATCCGTATCAATTTGAACAAATCACTATAAACAAAAAGTATCTGTAATGATACAAGTATTTTAAGGATCAATTTATGAAGATGTATCTCAAACTTAATAAGTACATTCGTACATATACACAAGTCAAGGCTATCGTGACCACGCTCATACAATTCACCATCAAAAAACACAAATTAAATGAATTTT